GAACCCGGGCCGCACGCATGCCAGACGAGCGCACTACCGCCTGAGCCACATCCCCAGCCCCAGGTGAGTCCCTTTATAGTTATTTTTTTTTTAGAGTTTCAAGACTATTATTTATTTTTAGATTATTTTAAAATCTTGGTTATGCCCACTAATTTCCATGTCAAATGAACTTTAGGGTCATTTGGTTTCAATCTCAAAGCATACTACTGGGAGTTTTCTTGGAAGTACCTTAAATTTTGTTTACATGTGGGAAGGGCTGCCAGGTTTGCAAATTTTAATCATCCCAACTAGAAACGAAACACTTGTCCCTGTTTCTTTAAGCTTTATTTGTGAAGTTTTGCTTTTCACACCATGACAGCACATTTCTTGTAAAATTTATTATTTAAATGGTCACTTCCAAGCTTTGGCCGCCTACAAAGCCTGGGCTAGATCCTGCAGCGTTGCCCTACACGATGAACTTCAAGGTGTTGGCGGGCACCTTCACCGGGACCCTCAACACCCGCAACAAGGCGGCGGTGGCCTGGGGCTAGCAAGGTTTAATTGCTTATGGATGTCATTTGCTGGTGGTAGAGATGGATTCCAGGACTGCCCAAACGCTTCAAGTTTTAGTAAAACATAAAGCTGATGTTGTTGAGGTTAAATGGGCCAGGGAAAACTACCACTATAACCTTGGCTCACYATATTGCTGGCGCTTAGCTTCTGCTGAGGTCAACGGGAAGATCATTTTGTTTGATATGTGGCAGCAGGAGTAGCTCAGTGGGAGATGCAGGAGCATGCCAGACCTAAGCGGGACATTCAGTGGTTGTGAAATCAAGATGCTTCCCGAGATTTGTTGCTTGCTATCCACTCGCCAAATTACAGTGTGCTCTGGAATGCAGGTACTGGCACCAAACTGGAAGAAAAGCTATGCAGATAACATTCTTTCTTTTTCTTTTGACCTTTTTGATCTCTCACATTGAACTTGTAATTGTTGCTTGTGGAAAATGAACTAAATGAAGTACTAACAATAAAATTAATGCTCTATCCATGCAATATACACATATGTACACATATATCTGTAATGTTAAGATGTCTGACCAAAGTGGAGAAGCACATCTCATCCATATATCTGCAGGTCCTGATTCATGTACTAAATCATTGCTTCTTATCATTTGCACTTATTTTGATAGTTAAAAATATAAGCCAGCAAACCACACCTTCTCTATGTTGAATTTATGAATGATATTGGACTAGCCAGGGACAGAGAGTTACTGGAATACTCTAATTCAGATTTAATTGAATTAGATTTTTTTAGGTATATTTAAAAACCTTGAATCAAGGGTTTCATTTAGTCTGTGGTCCCATTAAGTTCTTGCTTTTTAAGAAGATTATCCTAATTCATGCCATGTGTTCTGAGTGCCCTAAACAGATGCATGTAAAAAATGGAATAAGCCCAAAGGAATCTTTTCTTGCAGAGTCATTTTTGTGGTCACTGTTTGATGTTTTATAGATCAAATAATCTAAAAATGAGATTTTAGATATTTTTGTGGCTAAATTATTTGGAAGATATTTATTGTTCAGTTACCCAACAATATTTCTTGAGCTATTGACACCACTATGAAGGTTCTTGCCTTTGTAGAGTTATCATTCTAGTTTGAGCCAGATCCTAAACCAGGAACATAGTGAGTTAAGTCCTAGTCTGTTCAAAGGTGATAAGTGATATAAAGAAAGTGAAATAGGATGAAGGGGATGAAGAGGAATGGGGCATGGGGTGGTCAAGTTGTGAAAGATATAATGGTCAAAGTAGGCTTCGCTCTGATAATGATCAGAAACTTGAAGGAGGTAAGGGAATTAGCTGTGGTCAAGAGTGTTTTTTTCCTGGGACACACGGCTATAAAAGGATCCACAGTATGGACTGTTCAGGCCTTTGTGTGTATAGATATTTATATGAACTTGTGCACCGTACCTTCACTTATTCACTCAGCAGTTGGCTGATGTAAATGCAAGAATATAACAGAAGACTAGTGCAGCACAGGGAAGGAAGGCGTCACAAAAGCAGGAAGCCAGGGAGACCTTCAGAGATGGTTCTGGAACCTGGAAAGGAGACAAGGCTTTAGCCCAGATTGGTTGCATCAGCACTACATCTCTGTGACTTTTGCTGGTGAAAATATTTCAAAATGCCACTTGCCCTGACACTTTTTATTTACTTCACTGTGCTAGGGTTGTCATAACTTGTATGCTTCCTTGATCTCTGTGCCTGCAGCAGCCTCAGACTGCCAAGACTCAGGGTGGATGAGGTTGTCCTGCCCATATATCCCAGTATTGGTCAGCTCCAGTTATGTGGGAGGTTCTCTTTTCATTTATAAAAAGGCATAGTTTATATTGCTAAATGTTGTACTAAAATATTTTTTTATTTATTTTTATTTTTTATTTATTTTTTGTACTAAAATATTTTTTATTGCATGGACATTTAGTAAGCCTCTCATGGGACTTAGGCCATTTTTAAATATAAAGGGAAACAAACAGTCTTTACTCATCCTAAGGTACAGTCTGATGCTCAAGAAGACTGAGCAGCTTGTGAAAATCCTACAAAATTTAGTATCATTCAACCAAATATTTGAACTCAGCTAATTGTGATATACAGAATCTCTTACATACGGGGTATTTGTCTTCTTGTGAATCTTATATTCTGGAAAGTGTTTGGAGTTTGAAGTTTATGGAGTTTTAAATGAAATTCTGTGCATAGAATTTATCTGGAAGAACAAACATTTGTTCTTTCTGCCGACAGCCTTCTACTATCAATTTAATATATAAACATAATTCAGAATGCTGAGCTTGGGAGCCTCTGATGAATTATAATGGATTACCTGTTTCTTTTCAACTTGGAGAACATTCCCATTATGTTATGACCATAATATTTCATGTTCTATATTGTTAAAATTATCATTGTCTTTCTCTCGTGTTGTATTGAAATAAAATTCTGTGCTCAACTTGAAAAAAATAAATAAATGATCACTTCCATGAGTGGAATATTTCCCCAATTATCCTTTCTGATTGGTTACTGCTGAGATGTTGTTTTATGATGAGGCTCAGCAAGAAAGCCACTGGAATTTGGAGCTTGGAAGCGGAAATCCAATTGTCTGAGCAATATTTTCACACCTGCTCTGTCTCTGGTGGAACTGAGAAGGTATAAAGCCCTTTGCCCTCACAAGTCCCAAGAAATGGCCCTGAGGACATCTGCTTAGCAACTGGGAACAGTTGGATAATCTGAGATACATGAGTCTTTTTAGGAGTGTCTTAATTCTTGTTACCTCTGTCCCTAGACCAAGAAGTCATAACTAAGGCAATAAGAACAAAAGTGTGTCTATTGCTTGTTTATTTGGTTTCACTTTTTTGGGGGGGGGCAGGGGGCTACCAGAAATTGAACTCAGGGGCACTCAACCACTGTGCCACATCCTCAGACCTATTTTGTATTTTATTTAGAGACAGGGTCTCACTGAGTTGCTTAGCTAATTTGCTGTTGCTGAGGCTGACTTTGAACTCACCATCCTCCTATTTTCTGTTCTACCATCCTTAGGTAGCCTCTTGAGCTGCTGGGATTACAGGCATGCACCACGGTGCCCAGGTTTAAATTGCTTTTTTTGTTTTGGGTACCAGGGATTGAACCTAGGGTTGCTGAGATTACAGGTATGTGCTACCGCCTGGCTGCTTATTTATTTGGTTTTGCTTTAAAGTCAGATTCAGGTTTTAGGCCAATTATCTTCTCCAAGCTGTTATCTGATCTTTAAAATGGTGATAATCTTATCTATCTATTCCATTGAGCTATTGAGATTAACTTTATTTTAAAGTACTTTGGGAACTCATCTGATTGCAACCTCCCTGAACTTCAGTATCTTCATCAGTTAAATGGAGATAACCACCATGAGTTGGTGGTTCCAGAGCACTCAGCATGTTGAAGGTGAATAAAGAGGTTTGTCATCATTGTTATTATCAATCATAACTAAATGCAGTTGTCTTTAGTTGCAAATAGAGCAAACATGATTCAAAGTGACTTAAATAATACAGAAGGTTATTGGTTCAACCTATAGTTGAAGAGTGATGTAGAACTCAGGATCACTTTAAATCAATGGCTCAATATTGTCATCAATTCAGATTCTTCCCTTTTTTCTGTTCTACTATCCTTAGGAAAACTTCATCCCAAGCCTCAGGATCAGGCTCTGTGGTTTTTCATTCACGTTTAGAAGAGAGCCAGAGAGGTGGATAGTAAGAAGCTGGCTTCCTGGGTGCTCTTGCAGGGGTTTAAATGCAGAAGTAAGTCTTTCAAAGGGATCTCTTCTGAATGTCTGTTCTGTTAAAGGAAGAGAGATGAAGGAGGCCCTTCTCACCATGGTGAATTCAGAAATCTCTTGGATGGAAGGAGATGCTCCATTTTGGACCATCCACACTTTCTTCCATTGGATGTTGGCCACTCTGAGAGAAAAGAATCCTGTGCTTGCTGAAGACAAACATTTGGTCTGGGACAAACTTGGAGACCCTCTGTGCAAGAGATTCTTCAGTGCCTCCCCCCCCCCCCCCCCCCCCCCCCCCCCCCCCCCGCAGACGCTTCTGATGGGTTCCAGGAACTCCGCAGAGCACAGAGGTTGAACAAGCTGCTGCCAACACCTTCCCTGCTGGCTTCAGTTCCTCAAGAAAATCTCCTGGAAACTTCAGCTACAGAAACTCCGATTTGGGCTGTCACCCATCCGGGTCTGTAAAGGCCAATGTAATAACTTTCTTGGCCACCACGAACGCGAAAATCACCCTAAAGCATGCAGGTGCATGTTGTCAATCACCAAAAATTCAGTGATCCTTCATGCTCGCATCGCCTCGGGTTCGTTGGTTCGGTTGGTTCGTTTGCTCTGCGTCGAGCAGCGGCGCTGGGTGTTTTATGCTATCTCAGACCGCAAGTGATACGGGGCACATCGGTTGGTCCTCAGTCTGTCACACAAGTCACTCTACTTCTGAGGCCTGGAGGACACTTCCCCCCCCCCCCCGCAGTATTTGCCCTGCCGTATGGTTCTTGGGTCCTCTTGTCACCTCCGAGGTGCCGGTGCTGGCCAGCGTCCTCAGGCTTCTCCTGGGTTCTGGGGTGAGCAAAGGGCACGCGGGAAGCCGGCCTCGCCCCAGGCGGCAGCCAGGCGGGTGTCTGTCTGTCTGACTCTCTCTTTCTCTCTCTTCCTTCTTCCCCGCTTCCTCCCTTAAAATGGATCCCCGTATAGGAAGAGGGCAGGCACCCTCCAGAACCGAAACCCGCGATCCTGGCGATCGCCCCAGTGACCGCCTAAAGCTGTCAGTCCAGGGCTGCTGGGATAGTTCCGGCAGGTCCGCGCCCCTGCCGCTCAGCGATCCCACCGCTATGCTGCGTCCCTGCTGTGGCAGGAGACAGACTGACAGCTCCACCCATCGGAGCGGAGATAGACTGACAGCTCCACCCGTCCGAGCGGAGATAGACTGACAGCTCCACCCGTCCGAGCGGAGATAGAAAGATAGCTCCACCCGTCGGAGCAGAGGAAACGAAACCAACGCGGTTCCGAGTTCCAGGAACCCGGCGAGTGGCTCAGCCCCTGCCTCCGCGACCCGGATCGCCCCCATCTCCGCCCAGGAGTCCGCGCGCCCCGGGCCCGACCTGAGCTCACCCTCGTCCTTCCGAGGGACGTACGTTCAGTCTGTCCCGCGACTATTTCAGATAGACSGCCTCCTCCCTCCCGTTTTTCCGACGATTGCCTTCTGTCCCGGGGACAGGGGAGTGTGCCCAGCCCTGGGGGTCTCGAGTCCTCTGCGCCTCCTTCCCTTGCGTGTCCCGTGCTCCGCGCTCCAGCTGGCGATGTGGGACTCCACAAGTGGCTGGTGGCGACCTGCTGTCTAGTTCCCTCCTCAAGTGAAACCGCGGCTACAGGGCTGCGACTGGGCAGCCTCCCTCCAATCAGCCTGTGCGACGGCTGTTTCCGTTCTGGGTCCTCCGGAGGTCACTGCCCCCACGTCCGGGATGCCTGTACGCTGCGCTGTGACACGCCTCGAAGCTCCCTCTTTGGAGGCTCCTCCTGCCAAGCTCCATACTCATGGTGTCCTGGCTCCGYGGAGCCCCTTTCTAGGTGGCCCCGAGCCAAGGCCTTCCTCCTGATATGCCCCCTCCCACACTCTTCCCCACCTTCCCCCAATGCACTCAGGAACAAGTCAGAGTACTCACCAGGGCCAGGTCCTTTGCTTGGTTGAGGCCAGGAAACGCTGATAACCTGGACAGAGTATGGGGAGGCCTGGAGCAAAAAAAGCTGTGTAAGCCTGAGAGGAGGTTCTGAGGCCTGCGTCTTWGTGCTAGAGAATATTGGCAGGTGTTTCTGTGTGTGTGGAGACAAGGGAGTGAAGGAAGAGACACACCCAAGTGTGTGTGTGTGTGGGGGGGGGAAATCACTTCTTCCTCTAAAGTCGCTGCAAAGCTTTGTTATGGTGTGAGTTATGTTTTTATTAAAGTCATTTGTGTCCCTAGCTAGATAGTCTAAGAAATGTCATTCACTCATCAAGCTGTGTTCCACTCAAGGAACAGAAATGAATTGTATGAAAAGACTTGTCTAGGGTCTTCACTTATTCATTTATTTGCCCTTCCAATTTGTTCTCCATCTACTGTCTCATTAATCTTGTTCTTCTCTTAGGTCAAGAGACTCAGGGACATGTTACTTATGGAAGGAAGGCTTTCCGGAGAGGAAGGGCAGAGGGGAAAAGAGTGAAACAAGGATGTGGTCTCAGTGGAGACTASATAGATTTATGGGAAGGTCAGCCAGTTTCCACAGTGAGTTTTGGAGCATGAAGTTCAAGGGCAAGAGGCAGCTACCATTCTGCCCAGGGCAAYGGTCCAGAGAATATTAGCCCTTAGAGATCAACACTAACAGTCACTGCCCAATAGGTGCACTGGCCTGATAGAAATGGAATCATTCAGTGCATAACCTTTGAGCTTGTTTTTTCACATGTGATTTGCAGATACCACTTTCTCTGCATCCTCATCAGTATTTTGTTTGGTTACTGTTTTAWAGTATTTATTTGTTTGTTTTGGTATTAGGGATTGAACTGGATGTTGTTCTACCCTGAGCTTACACCCCAGTCCTTTCTGTTTTTTATTGGAGACAGGACCTCACCTAGTTCTCCAGGCTGGCCTTAMACTTACCATCCTCCTGCCTCAGCCTCCTGGGTAACTGAGGTTTTAGTACTATTTTTCGTTTTAGTAATTTTAATTAGATGTGTAGTGATATCTGGAAGTGGTTCTAATTGGCACTGCCTTAGTGCCTAATGATGTTGAACATC